TCTATGATTCTATGATTCTATGAAAGCTGAATGGTGCAGTGTAGTAGAATCAAAAGCCTAGTACCTCATTCTTGTTTTAAATGTTATTCCACGTGGGTAACTTTCATTTTGATATTTTAAGGTTAGAAGCTCTTACCTCATGTTCAAAAAATGCATCTTCCAGTGTCTTTTCTCCAGTGCCGCTCCCTACACCTTCAAACACAGCCTTGTATTCCTAAAAGCATAGACAACCACCCAATGGAAATAAGGTACTTTTGCATTCTGTGCAGCACAGATACCTTATATTACTTTATTAATTAATCTACATCAAGTAATCTTTCTGTATAGAAGAACTCATGTATAGATTACAGTTCTACATAAACCAAAAATTAAAAGCATATAGTCAGCAAAAGAAAGAATAATCACATTTGTTCTTGTATTCCTTACTGTTGTTTCCTACAACTTAATTTACTGGAGGCACTAAAAGAGGTTTATTGTAGAACGACACATGCCCTTTCACTCCTTTGGACAGAAAGCACTCAATTTCTTGTACAAATAGTATCCATCAGAGCCAGAGCTGTAAATGGAGCCAAAACCCCAAACTCTGATCCTCACATGGCTGCTCATTTTATTTCCAGTAGTCAGCTGGATTTTCTTTATCTGTGTTAATAGTGTATCTAAATCCATTAGTCTGATAGGTCATCCTGGAATATTCTGTGCAGATATATTTGACTTCATTTCTTACATGTTACATTTCTGTGTAATTTGCTTCTCTGTGTATTTGTTTTGTTTTTCCTGTAAAGTAGCAGTGAAGTATAGGTCTAGTACATTGGTTCCCAAATTCATTCTATATATCCCACCATCACGTGAATAGACTTGCTGTGTACCACATTGACATGGTGACACATGCTTCTAACGTTCTGCTTATGCACAGGAACAGATGTGCATCTCCAGCTTTGTTTCTTCTGTCAAAAAAGCAGTAGACCAGACATAATTTTGTTTTGTGTACCTACTTGGAGGTAGCTTAAATATTATAGGTAGAGTACCACACTTAATTCATAGAGCAAGTGTTGCATATTGGTTCATCTTTAATAACAGCACTAGTTGCATCAGTATTAACAACTTCATCTACTTCCTTGATTCAATCAGCGATTTAGAGAAAACTTTTCAGAAGGGCATTTTTATGGTACACTAGCAATAAATCAGGTTTGCACTCATCTGTGACATTAATTGTTTGGTCAGCTCATTTTAAAATGACACATGCTTTTGCTCCAAAATCTTGGAGGCAGCAACTGTAAAGTGAAATTCAATTTTGGGAGGGTTAATGAAATAGGAAGAGTTTTGTTTACTAGAATGTGATTTGGTCTTATTTAAATATCACTGTAAGAGGAACTTTGTATTGCACTAAGATAATAACATATGTCTACATATCAAAGGCCTTTGATTCCATATACTTCTTTATGGGATCTTTTGTTTCTTCACTGAGTTTTTTCTCTCTCAAAAATGCTTTTAACTTATGTGAATATTCTTTAAAGTTTTGCTGACATCAAGAGATGTTAAGTATTTGTATTTTGGCTTTTTGTTTTAAGAAATTAGATTACATACTGCATAGTAATCTGCAACACACTTCACTTGCTCGTAATCGTCTGCATTGGCCAACAGGTGTAAGCCTTCTGGATACAGTTTTCCACAGGTTGGATACAGCTTCTCTCGGTCATCTTTACTCAGCTCAGTGCCGAATGAATTAATGGTGATGATAAAGGCACGTCTGTCTGCCTCAAACTTAATATGCAAAACAAAGAATAAAGAGGTGTTATTAGAGATTTCATTCTAAATTCAGGTGGGGATATGCTTTTTTCAGTAAGCTAAGTTATGGAAACTTAAAAAAAAAGTGGACTTCAGAGCATTAGAAACATACCTTATTTTAAAATTGTAGATCCTTATTTGCAAATACTTGTTAAATTTTAACTAGAAAATCAAATAGTGTTTTGCAAGCACAGCTTTTATTCTGTGATTTTTGTACTGAAAATATCATCTCTGCTACTTCCTCATTTCCCTATTCAGTTACCCAGATGTTGTCACAAAAAATCTCCTCACACACCCTTCTGCAGTTATGAAATAATACTCTTATAATATAGGAAAGGACCAAGAATCAATAGTACTGTTCTGGGGTAACTCAGAGTGCTGTTAAGAGTAAAGGTTGAATGGAAATTCTGAAAAAAAAAAATAGTTTCTGAATGCGCATGTTTAAAACAATAACTTAATAAGGTGGAGAGGGCTGTTTACTTGCCAAGTTAAAGTTTTCAAGTGTTTCAAATAATGGTTAATTTTTAACGCATAGAATCAAGGGCTATATTTCTTCTGTCAGGTTTAGATGCCTGTAGCATCTGTATTTTCCCTGCAGCAGTAGTCTGAAAGTCATTCTAATGTCTAGATCTCAGGTTGTTCTTTTGTATGAGGCAAAATTTCACTTGCCATTCTTCCAGTATGAATTAAAAATGTAATGGTAAATAAAAATAGTCTGGCTCAGTTCTGTCTGATTTAAATCTATTCTTCTGTCTTGAAATCTCAATTGACTATGGTTTTATTTATTTCCTTTATTACTTACTTTCTTGTAGGAACAGCAGAGCCCTTGCTAATTGCAGAGTTTACGCAGGAAAATCTTCCAAGCAAAGCATACACAGTATACACACATTTTAGGCAGCTTGCAAAATTTCTTACGCTGTAAATTTTTGAACTGTTTTAAGCAGAAGGGTACTCTTTTCTACTGAGTAATAAGACTGCAGTTGCAACACAGTTCTACAACTTTAGCAGTTAAGCACATATTCATAGATCCTACTCCTGTGTACTGGAACACACTGTAGTAGGGACCCGGCCACCCCCTGGCACTGCCTTCAGAGTAAGGAAAATGGATAAATAATAGAGAAATAATGAGAAGAAAATAAGTGTGCTTGAGAAGATTTCTAGCTAATGAATAACAGGGCCAAATTTCACTTACCTTACTGATATGAACAGGCATATCAGTCCTAGTAAAACTGTTTTGGAAGGACAAATGCTTTGTTTTAACTTGTTAAAGCCATATAGAATCTAGCTGTTAGATCTGTAATATTTAATGGGAAAAAAGCATACTCAGATGCAATTGCAACTAGTGCTCACAGGTTTGAGGCCCAATTCTGTGGCTCCCAGTTTGAGAAAATTTGCAGGATCATCCCATCCACACAGATCTCTCAGTTCATCAAATTATTGGCACATGAGGTTCTCCATAGTGAGTAAGCCCATGAGGTAGTTGTTTGGTGACTGGGGCCATTTGATTGCTGCAGGTAGAGGTGGAGTCACAGGATGACTGCGTGCTTTCCTGAGTGCTTTAGTTTCCATACGGGAAACCGAAGTAGCATGTCTGCTACTTGAGAATTAGCACGGGGCCCTAATAACAGGCAAGCACTAGCTGCAGTGGAGTCTTGCAGTTTCTTGCCAGATTCAGGGTTAAACATGCAACATTTGTTGTCCATGCTGGAAGAGAGATCGCCAGTACGTTTAATGTGGAAGGTTGGTACTGTGACTGGTGATCAAGGAGTTGGGGAGCTAAATACCTCAGCCTCGTTCTGATAGGGTCAGGTTGGTAGTCTTACATATAAGATTACAGAATAAATAGCAAGTATTCTTTTGAATAATTAAACTTTGGCTTTTTGTGAATTCAACCATTAGCAGTATCTGCTCTATGTGTGCCTTCAGATTATTAAAATGTTATAGAAAAGGAAATCTTCTGCAGAAAAGTTTATCCTCCTAGCTGATTGACATTAGATAAGGATTTTAAAGAAGCTTATCACAGACCAAACTGTTACAATTGGTATAAAAAGAATTTTACAACATGCTTAAACTAACATTGGCAAGTAATCATCTGCTCTCAGCTTGAATTTCTAGCTAAAAATGAGCTTTCTGAAAAATCTGAATCAACTGTGGAAAATGTCTTTACCTCTGCCAGACAATCTCTTGATTTTGATTTTCAGAAAAGAATAGTCAAAAAATTTCTGGTCAATTTAACTTGATTAAGAATATTTTCTTTAGAACATAAACTGAAACATTATGACCTGGTTAAATAAAATATGAAATTGCATTCATTTTTAGGACATTGTTTTGTAAGATGTAATTTAGGCTTATTTTTCCTTCAGGGTTGAGCTCCCAGGGTTATTATCTCTCTCCTACAATGCAAACATTTAGTGTGATGTCATCAGAGCTCAGTGAATTTTGTTCAGTCAGTTTCCAGGGTGTAAGTTTTGCTTATCCAGGAAAAAAGACTCCTGGAAGTAAATGGGTGATCTGGCTCTCAAACACTGCAAAGAATTGTGATAAACCATGTGAAAAAAAAAAATGGAGCTGGATGCCAAGAACTCAATTTTAGGAATTTTTGCATCTTTTATTACAATAGCAGATATAAAAATATCATTCACTGTGCTGCGGGTATGCTTTGGGGAGGAGGATGTTAGGAATTTTTTATGTCATGGAAAAAATAAATATTAAACTTCTCTGAGTTGAGACAAAAATAATACATGTAATGTTGGACTTTTCTGTATAACACTAGTTCCAAAGGTCACTCAACTCTGACTTCAACCACTAATTTTAATAGGAGAGTAAACAAGCATAATAGTGCCATGAAGCTTAAAGATTATTGATTAGTAATATACAGTAATGACAGACCTTAGCTATCCCAAACTTAATTTTGAGCTAGGAGGTGTAAGAATAATCCACTTTTTTCGTTTTTCTACATAATGGAGAAAAATGTTAAGAGGCAACAGTTTGAGATTAGTGAACTGTTTATTCTGTTCTGCTGTCTGTTATAGAAAAATATTAACTGAAGCTAACTCCTCCCTGGTAATGAACTAGCTGCTTCTGTAGTCAAGAGGTAAAAATCATCCTAGAATAAAGTCTTCACTACATCTTAGAAAAACAGTTACTATTCAGAGGAGAAGCAAACATTTGGCAAATAACTTTCCAAATGGAGAGAGAAGGAACAGGAAAAACAAAGTAACCTAATTATGAAAACATTGTGGAGTACTTTCATGTACAAAGACTGAATTTTTCTTACCTCAAGAATAGGTCTCATGATTTCTGCTGTAGTACCTCCTTGTTTTTCACAAAACTTATAGAATGCCTCAAGATAAGACTACATGAAAGAAGAAGAGAAATATTTTAAATGCTACTTAAGACCTGGACCAGCACAGCACATAGTCATGAACCTCATTTTTAAATACTTTTAAATACTTCCATTGACTTTGATAATTCTACCTATGAATTTAAATTCAAGTATGTGCTTAATTACTTTGCTGGATTGAAAGTTGAAATATTAAAATGCAAATGTCTTGTTATTACAATATGGGTTCAAATGTTTTTTAAAATTGTTATAGGAAAAATACTATGTTTTCTTTGCTCTCTAAAGAAGGAACTTCTTGAGCTCTCTTGAGCTTCCACTGCATAATAAGCAGATGGCTGAAGGAAACTCTGCATTTATAGTGTGGAGGAGGGGATTTGGGAATATGCCATGGCTGTTGGGCCAGACTATGAGGATACACAAACTAATCCCTACTGCTGTACCCTAAACCCTGGATTAGGACAGAATAGCGGACAAAGCTGCTGTAATACTGGTCTGCAGGGCCCTCTGGTCTATTAAGGTTTCTGGCCTTCGCATCCATTTCAAAATACCTGTGCAGGAAGGACCCTAAATATCTCAGAGATCCTGTTCCCCGCCCCCCCTCCATCCCCCTGCCTCTCCATCCCCCAAAATACTGTTTTAGGGAACATTTACATTATGAAAATGCATTTGCTACAACTTCACACAATCTTATTACAAGTTTTTCTACATAATGGAGAAAAATGTTAAAGAAGCTGTCACTAACTATGCAATTAAGTGAATTTTAAGTAGAGACATCTCAAGGGGGATCTGCTGCATGGGATTATGCATTAGGTTCTGTATAGTGCTATCTCATACTAGAGCTGAAACATAATTGATCACATTGACAGCTGAAGCAGAGGGGACAGGATAAATTAATAATTTAGAAGTGTTTGCAGAATGATCCCCCTGATACTTGGAAGAATGAGAAGAAAAAACAAAAAACCAGATTTAATAAGTGTAACTGTGTGGTTATCCACACAGGATATAAGAATCAAATCTGTATGTTATCAAATGGAAAAAGAGTGTCTAGTTTAGTAGTACTGTGAAAGAATTAAAATACTTGGGCATAACTGATGTTTTGAATAAGAGGAAGTAACAGAAAATTTAAGAATCAAATATTGGCTTGAGAATTTATAAATATATAAATTCTTGAGAATTTATAAATATAATTTGTAAGACAAACAGAAGAATTTTTTTCTTTCCCCCTAGTGCAATCAGATCACTGTAAGAATACTTCCTGCAGTCTGGGGCATCCACTGTGAAAGAAAGATAACAAAGAATTTGGAGAGAATGTGCCAGGAGGAACCATTAACGGAATGAAATATGTATAGCCTTTAAAGAGATCATCCTAAGAGTATTGACCTGTGTGCTAATATTTGTAAAGTACTTTGAGAATGCAAGACACGTTAGATGCATATCCTTGCAGCAGTGTGCTGTAGGAATGCTAAAGATAATTTAAAAAGGAAGAAAATTATACAAAACCCTTAAGTAAAAAAAATGTTACCTAGACTCAAAGCAATTAGATTTTTTCAAATCACATCTGCCTTTTATAAATAAAAATAAATGTTAGCTGAAAGCCTGTCTAGGGTAACCTAGGAGTTCTGTGGCATTTGGTGGATAACTGAGTTATTCATAAACCAATGGATCTGGTTATTAGCGTGACATCTAAAGCATTTTCATTAATGAGATATTAAATTAGAATTTGGATGAGACCTAAAATTTGAAAACTCTCCAAACAATGGAGTAGAAATGAAAGGAGCTGGATTTGATTCTTCGACTTGTCATCAACCAGGTGACCTTAGACAGCTTGCTTTATCTCACCATGCTTCTGTTTCCCCATCCGTAAAACAGGGTTAGTGATACTGACCTCCTTTTCTGAGGCACTTTGAAAACCCCCAAGTATTATTGTTATGTTGCAAGAACTTGCCTTGTACAGTTTGTTGCGCATTATTTCAATGTTCATTTCATCCAGGTCATTTTCAGACAAGCAGTCTTGAAAGAAAGCAGCTGAAAGCAGAGTTTATTATATTGAAGTATAAATCTACATACTGATAATATGCATCTTTTGTCTATTGCCATTCACCAGTGTGTGAGCAAGGATCTGAGGTTTCTGTTGTACAAGAAGGAGTGATATAACAGAGAGGAAGAGAAATACTCTTAATTTTCCCCTTATCCTCCTACTCCCTCCTTTTGAATGAGAATCTGCTGTGAGGGGAATCAATCAGTGCTGCAGCCAGAGTCCACATGTCCAGCGAGAATCAGATGAGAAATGCTAATGAAAGCCCTAATCTTCTCTGAAGTATATGGTTTGGGCATTAGGGAGATTTTCTAGTGAGGAACATGAAAGATAATTTTTGTCTTAAATCATGCAAGTATTCCACAATTGTTAAAGAGAATCCTCTTTCCTATTTTCCCTCTTCCTCTTTGGATATGTCTGCAGTGGGGGAAAGGCAACGAGTTGCAACTAGTAAGGGGCGCAAGCTTTGACCTTGACCATCTGTGCTTCCAGGTCCTCTACCGAATTGGCTAAAGAGCAAGCTTTTGAACAGGGAGGCAGAGGATGAAGTTCATTTGTGCAGGTGGACCGCTTAAAAATACTGTATTCATAACCAACAGAAGTATTCCAATCCCTCACTATTCCTAAGCTATGTCAGTGGGACAGACCAGTGCTGCCTGACAGAGAGTGTTGTGTCAGACAGTGGCAATGGGAGATGGTATTTAAAAAGAGCATGTGAGCCTGGCTGTGTTTTGTGGTCTTCTCCCTTCACACTCTCCCAGCATCCAGTTTTTGGATGAACAATATTAGAGGATGTAGCCGTGACAGTTCACTTTAGTATCTCTTTGTAGATCCATTGACCGAGAATTTGTCCCATCTTTTTAAAAATCTGATACTACTCTCTGCTTTTACAAACTTGTTTAGAACAAAAAATCCAGAAATTTACTACCAGCTGTGTAAAAAAAAATGTTTTACTTTACCTGTTTTAAAACTAGTTTTCTGCTGAAATTTGGTCTTCTAAAAGATTTGGTAAGCAACAGTTCACAGCTCACTGTGGACAAATGACTGCCCTCAGGACTTTGTAAACATTGTCCATATCTCTTTAGCCTTGTCCCCTCCAAACTGCAGTCCAGCCTTTTTAGTCTGTCCGCACACGGCAGCGCTATCCCCTTGTTCATTTTAGCTGTCCTGCTCTGTACCTTCTCTGATTTCACTGTACGGGCTGTCGGTGCCCAAGTGTTGGCGGTGGGGTCTGCAGGGCGGCCTCTGTGAGGGGAGGCTGGGGCTGCCCCGTGCCGGACACAGCCAGTTTCAGCCCGCTCCAACGGCCCCACCACAGGGCACAGCTGAGCCCCACACCCAAGCTGGTGGTGGTGCCTCTGGGAAAATATCTTCAAGAAAGGGCAGGATGTAGAGAGGAGGAGGGAAAAAAATTCTGAGAAACACCAAGGTCAGAGAAGGAGGAGGAGTCGCTCCATGGCACTGGAGCAGGTACTCCCTGCTGCCTGTGGAGGACCTGCGCTGGAGCAGATACTCCCGACAGGAACTCCAGCCTGTGGAGAGCCCATGCCGGAGCAGAGGATAAGTGTGAGGAGAAAGGAGCAACAGAAAGAAACCGCCATGTACTGACTGTAAACTCCCCCCGCTCCTTGTGCCGCTCATTGCCTCTCCAAAGGGACTGAGTGCAACCTGCAGCGATAACAAGGGGGCAAAGGAGAGGAGCCTGGAGTGCAGGAGTGGGAAAGGGGGGAGGAAAGGTGTTTTCCCTAAGTGTGTAAATGTTTGTTTCTTTCTCTTTGTTTGTTTCCTAATGCCTGAATCAGTAATTAAATATATTAGTATTAATCAACAATAAATCAAGTCAATTTTCCCCAAGTTGAATCTTGTTTTGCTTGCAACAGTACTTGGTAGGTGATCTCAACCCACAAGCTCCTTTTTTTTCCCCTGTTTTCTCCCCATCATGGTGCTGGGGTTGAGCGAGTGGCTGGGTGGGAGTTTGGCTTCTGTCTGGGGCCAACCCACCACGCCTTCTTAAGAAGCAGAACCCAAATCCACTCACAGTACTCAAGATGAGGGCACACAGTGGTTTCATATATGTTCAAATCCATCCAGTTCCATCTTACTCTCAGTACTCTTCCCAGCAGTGTCCCACAGCTGGTTAGTTTTTGTTTGTTCATGTTGGCTGCTGCAGCACATTGAGCAGAGTTTCAGCCCAATTTCAGAATGCAATGTTTTCAAGCCTCGCTCTGTTTTGCTTTTAGATTTAGTTCTTCAAAATAGGGATTTTCTTTGTGTTTGAATCACGTCCAAATCCCAAGAGGGAATCTAGGTTCTACCACAACATCTAATATTTATTAGTAACTGTCTGCTTCTTGATCCTCAGTGAGGGATAGGCAATATTTCATCTTACATTTTTTAATTATAGATGCAGGTGTTGAAATAAAAATCTAGATGCTCTAAATCAATGGCTACTTCGGGTATAAAAGATATCCATTACACTTCTTGAGTAGCATGTTTTCTTTGTGTCTGCTACCTAAGGTTGATACAGAATCTGTTAATAAATGTTCCTAGGAAATGTCCTGAACATCACTTCAAAAATGCTTGATCCACACTTCATGTTTTGTGTTACCAAAGCACAGCATACCCAGTGGAAAACATGCTACTCCATCTGAGATATTCTTAAGAATACAGGATGAGTAGTTTCAACAAGCAAATAAGAAATAATTTAGTGTTCCTACCTAACGGTGTGTCAACCAAAATTGCATTGAACAGCTCAGTGGGATTTGAGGCAATGCTGACTGCTTCCATTTGCTCAAAACTCCCCAGTGGATGGCACTTGGGAACAAGTTCAGCTATGGGCCTTAGATGTAATGTGCCAGTTATTAAAAGAATTACGTTGTCAATCATGTAGCTGTATCTGTATTTGAAAGAAAAAGTAAAAGAAATGAACTTTATCTTTATAATGAATTTTCATTTGAAAAAATACAAAACCAAGAATTTTGAAAATTAGTAATAATACTAAAGTCAGAAAAAACCACAATATTTGCAGGTTTGTACATTTACTCTGTATCAATGTCTCATTTATCAAAAACAAATAGAAGTTTTTAAATAGTACGTAGGTAACACACAGTGTTAATTTTAAACACATGACTGAGTTTGGGAACGAGACTTTTAAAGAAGGGGAAACCGAAATATTAATATAATAAGCATAACAGCTGTGAAATGTAGATTCACTATAACAAGTGACAATGAGTGGTATGAAAAAGTAAATCACCTGAGCTAGGAGTTTCTCTAGTTTGGGATTTCATTATTTCATATAGACTACCTGGACAGAGAAGAAGTGCATGGGAATCTCAGCACTAAAACTGCAGAATTCATGTAGATGGACCAATCTTAATGCTTTCTTCTCACTCAGCTTTAAACATTCTCCCACGAGAAAACTAAGAACAGGTTCTCACAGATTTCTTCATTATTGCTAAAAGTTTTCTTTTCAGTAGAAGTTTTCTATCAGCTTCTTACTAGTTTTACTGTCAGAGAGGCTGATAAGAGTTTTGTCAGTGACTTGGCAACGTGAAGGCTATTCCCTTGGGATGCTTATAACAAGGCTGCCAATCTTCAGCTTGCGTTGTTGATTCAGAACACAGCTAGACACATATAGGGATTAATATGATCTCACACAAGATCTGGGAGGGGGCTCAGGGACCTGGTGAAATGTAGTTCAATGATTTAATAATTGTGTTAAATATCTTAAACTAGCATCTCCATTATTTAAAAACAACAGTGTGCAGGGATTGTGCATACATGTGTACACATGCATGTCAATCAGTGTGAGAAAAGACCTGCCATAATTTTCATATTTTCACTTTCATTTCTCCGAAGCAAAAGGTGAACATTCTATGCCTCAGGTCACAGGTGTCCTAGGGCAGTCTTTAAGATCCTGTTGATATATTCGCCTAAAACTAGTCAGATACACTTGACCCAAAAAAAAAAAAAAGAATAATGATACTTTATTTTGCTGTTATGATAAAAATACTCCTTAAAAGTAAGCTGAACAATCTAGTGTTCTTATTATAAAATATTAAAAAGATAAGATCAAGGGGAGTAAACAGTTAGGTAAAATATCCTGCTGACATTTCACTAATCCATGTTGTTATACTGTTATAAAGCAGATCCTTGTTCTTAATGTTTAAGCCATTCATTGACAAGTTTTATCTGTTTATAACTGTATTGAGATCAGAACTTTCTCTTCATGTGACATCAAACAGCACTTGTACTTTTTAAAATAGCTACTTGGATCTAAGTATCTTGCTATACACAACATAAAGTTTTTCTGGTTTTAATGTTCAAATGGTATAAAAAGTATGGCAGGTATATGATGTATTGTCTTTCCCCCTTTAAAAAAAGTCTAGAACTTGCCACATGCCTAGGAATTAAATCACTGCCCTGTACATCATGAAATTGGTAATCTTGCATGAGTCATCCCCACAAACTTCAGTTTTGCAAGTTCTCTGATTTAAATGACGTTTGAAAATTATAACCATTTTTCTCAATCTCTACTACTCCTGCCACTGTACACAGAAGAAAAGACAACAGCTGCTCATATATATATTTTCAAAACTTATATTAGCAAATAAGGTATGTAAATATTGCAGTATAAAGGTAATTTTGCTATTTTTGAAACTTAATAGAAATTCAAGTATGATGCATTCACACAGTTTTAACTTGTAGCTGTGCTTTTGCTTTAAGTCTATGTGGTAAGCTATGTAGTAACATTACTTACGTGATAAAATTCAGAAAAGTGGCAAGTGGTTCAAAAGCATGGTTTCGAAAGTAATGAAATTCTGCGAGTAGTTTTGCTTTCAGTTTATCATCGATGGTGGAAATAGTGAGAGGGCCAGTTTCGTTAGCCAAGAAGTTGCCATAGTCTGTAGTCTGTAGATGTAACTTTAGATCTGAAATTAGATTCAAGGAAGGTCATATGAATAAACTGTTGTTATATTGTCTACAAACCAAATCAACTCTATCTCATGGCCTTGGCCAAAACAATTGAGAAAATAGTCATCCACAAGCTCCAATACCATATAACATCAATCAGGAATGTCACAATCAGAGTTCACACCATGACTGAGTTCAGTGCAGCTCAGAGACTGCTCTGCTGGTCTTAAATGATATTCTCTTGGCTGTTGGCATAAATAATACCTGGGGGCTAAAACAGTCAGACACTTGTACTAATAACGTGACCCGATGACCTGGCAGGGGTAGATGGCTGAGCATTACAGGGGCTTCAGACATTCCTGTTCACCAGAACTTTTTAGTGATGGTAGCTGCTCCTTTTCTCAGGGACTCTTGGAGACCTAAACAAGACCCTGGGCTTTTCAGCACGTCCACAAGGTCCCTAGGAAAGAAAATTCCTGTATTTCAGCTGTCAATATTATTGCCATACATCTGCATCGTGTATTTCCTCATACAATCATATGCAGGAAAATCATATGTAGGAAATGTATGACTTTAAATAATGTGATTTTAAATCACATGATTTTACTCAGAATTGAACAGCAACCAAACACAATTAACAGTATGTCTAAAGGGAATTAATGTGCAGAGGGAGATTAGTTTAAGATGAATGCAGTTAAGACAGGAATGGTGCTGATCAGAAAGAAGGAATATTGTGAGAACTTGAACAAAGTGTTAACTTGGTCTCTCGGCATCAAAAGCACATGGAGTCTTGTCTGACTCCTCACTTTGATAGCCAGCTACCCCCAGTTTTCAGTTACACTGTTATTTCAGCCACCACGTGCTGGCGTGTCCTGGCTCTGGCAAGTGAACTTATTTCAGTGATGTTGGTGGGAGCAGAGCTGGGCTGCTTGTCCTTCTGTGACCTAGTCTCCCTTCCAGAGAGCAGTAGTCTTTCCATCACACATGGATGCAAGGAAAGAATAAAGCGCTGAGTTTAACACCCCCCGCCACCCCACCCCATATTCTACTTCAAAGACTGTCAGCAGGGTTCCTCTGAGGATCCCATTCCCCTGAAACAGGTGATGACATAGGGCCAAACTAGTAACATGCGGTGTTGCAGAGGTTTCGGCCAGTGTTGCAGTCCACAAGGTAGCTCCACAGAAACTATAATAATGCAAACAAGCCCAAAAGGACATCTAAGTTAAGCTGAAGGCCTCTTCTCCTCTCTGCGTGGCCCTGAATTGGGAGGACACAGTAGTATCGTAAGTCAATTAGCATCCTCCTTTTTTTCTTTCCCTCTCACTGCTACACTTACTCTGTGATTATCAAGCAGATGTAAAGCACTAACCTACATTTTTTCTTGTGGTTCTCCTGTACTGACTTTATGGTTTCCCCTCTAGAGATATCAAAATCACTTTGAAATTAAAAGATGTTTTTGATTCTTCTTATGGGTTACTTGGGGTTGTTTTGATTTTGTTTCTGCTTGTTTGTTTTAGCATATTTATAATATTTTTAACTTAGGCCAGTTTTTGTGGTGTGGTGCTATGCCACAGAATGCAGAATAGGGTAAATTATTACCTTTTAATGTGAAGACATGAACTGAAGGCACTATTGGACAAGCACAGTAGTACTACAGTTCCAATCCACATGCTGGATCTTTTAAGTGCAAACAAAATCCAATGTATGCATAAAGCTCCATTTTTTACTTTAGAAGGAAGGATCTGTGGTTTTGGTGCACTGTACAGGGTGCAAGTTCATTATTACAGCATCCTATATGTGCAGAGAGATAAGTGTATGTAGCCTCGAGTACAAATCCAATACTTCTCATATTTTCATTATAAATAATACATCTGGTAGATAACCGGTGGGAATCTGTTAGCTGTCTAAAAGAAGTAGAAAATGTTGCAATGGAGAAAGAGATGTAGCTGAATAGAGAAAAAAGGGAAATGATAGTGGGTAGTAGAGATGTGCTTGTAGATGGGTTGATGAAGGCTGCTGCTTCTGTGGCTGAAATAATTTGCATTCTAAAATTGAATGAACATTAGAAAGAAGAATGTTCAAAAATAAAAAAATCATTGTTCTTTCTACTATAAATCTTACTTAGAAAAGGATTTTATCTCTCTATTGTGATCTGTCCATCTGTTGCATGCTCTTAATAATGTTGAAGGTTTATGTTTGAAAACTACTTCCTGGTTGTAAATATCTTTCTTGTAGCATGACTTAAAATTTAGATAGTTTTTCTTAACTATTCTTAACATAAGCAAGTATTCTTCTGGGAAGGATGTGGGAAATCCTTTTTTCTTGTATGTTTTTAAAAATATTTAAACCTGTATATTTTCATCTTACTCAGAAGTAACCAGGATTTTACGTTGGTTTTTTTTTTTTTTTTTTCTTTATGGAGGCTTTGATGACATCATTTATTGAGCTCCTCTGCAGAGACAAGTGGAGTAAGAGCAAGGTTTAATAATTCCGTCATTCTGTCCTTTGTGTCTTTTATAGATGTTTGAAGCTCTATTAGCTTTTTCTGAAGTCTGTATATTCATGGAGCTTTTTGACTTAAACAATTAAATACAATATCAAGAGTGTCTGTAGAGTCTTTAAGCTGCATAGATTACAACTACTGATACAAATAGGCTACAGAAACTTGATTTTGTCCAGCTGATATAAAGAACAGATTTCAATTCTCAGAGTAAGTGTATACTTGTGTTCTGTGTGTCTAAACTGCCATTGTATGAAATGGAGAGCTGATACAGCTTTCCAGCTTATCAGCTGAAGTAGGTACATGCACTTGGTCAGTTGAATAGTCTCTAAATTCCATTGACTGTATTGACAACCTCTTCTTTAACTATGAGAGGAACTTTATCTTGCTGACAGGTAAATACCTGCAGATAGCTATTTAAATGTAGTTGGTTTAATCTGCAAGATGAATGGCAAGCAACCTTCCCAGACTTATGTTGTTATTATATTAATAGTTTAGAGACCCTCAAAATTCTGTTGTATATGGGAATCATCAGGTTCTGCACTTCTCACTTCCCCAAATCCATTACTGCATACACAAAGCAACCAATGCTTAAAACAGAGTGAGTGTATTATTTCTCCTTGTTCCTTTTTCAAATTAATCTAATATACTGCATGTTATAGAAATTATTTCAATGTACAATCATAGGTTTTATTTTGGAGTCAGGGAAAGAAACTTTATGTTCCTTTAGAAAGGTGATTTTTTTTCTGTCGCATTTTTTTCCTGCCAAGTGTCTAGAGGTATGTCATACGATTCTTTGTACAAGTCTGTCTTCATCAGGCTGTGACCAGTCTTGGCCACAGAAAGCTGTTTTGGAAATTAGTGTGTGTTCTCTTTATTACTGTGGCAAAGTCACCTTGAAAAAAGCTTTTTTTTTTTTTTTTTTTTTTTTTTAAGCTTGAGAATAGTTCAGTTTTATCTTTGTGAAGTCTAGTTTTCTCTTCCTGATAAGTAGAATGTCCCCCACCGCCCTAAAACTCATGAAGTAATAAAGTACTAAAACTTATAGAGAAACTCAGAGCCAAATGGCAGGCTTTTAATAAGATTTTGGGAACTATTTTATCCAGCTGAAATGATATGAAACTTGTATACTTGAACAGTTCTATAGTTAAATCTGTGAGAAAGTTACCAGTCTCCATAGGAACTCTATGGATGAGATTTCCAAACCTTATCAGTAAACTAGAAAATCCTATTATCTGGATTGCATTGCAAATCACAGTACAATCCTTGGGTAATTTCTATGGAAAGCTATTAACTTAAATATAAGACCAGTTCTTCAAAGGACATCGGGGTTATCTCTGCTTTTTAAGATAAGCTCTCAGTACTTCAGTCTTTTACCTTCCCTTCTTCAAAGGTCTAAGCAACAGTATTTCTTCCTAAATAAAATAAACCAGCAGACTTACCTTCTAGTGTCTCACACTGTGCTAAATTGACATAGTCTGCACTTGTCAAGATCCCAGCTTTGAACCCTCGGACCAGACCTTCCAAGTAGCCATGGTCCACATTGAAGTAAAACTCTGAGTATCCCGGCATGGAGAAAAGGAGATTTAATCTCTCTGCTGGATACTTGATGGTACTGAATATCTGCCACCAACTGTTTTCCTCCTCTTTGGAAGGAGTGACAAATAGTCACTGATTTCCTGCCAGCCTATAATTGTGTTTTACCAACTGGTTTCTTCCTGTTTCTTGCTCCTAGTGTAGTTCCAGTATAGTTGATGCTTACACAACAGCCAGCCAGCAAATCCAACTCCCTCCTGTCAGAGCCAGAAAATGACCCTGTTATTTTTGAAAGAGAAGCCAAAAAGGAAGTATAAAATTTAACCATTGCTTACAAGAATGCTCTGTACTGATTGGAGAATGAGAAAACATATTACACAGCTTGATAGCATTTTCGCATTTCTTAAATGTATTATAAACAGGAAGTTATCTGTGAATACCTATTGAAAAAATATTTCTGCACTAAAATGGTGGGCTGTGGTAGGACATAGCCTGTTCGAGGAACTTAGACGGTTTTTTAGTGTCTCTGTATACCTTTTGGTTTTTAACATTTTTGATTGCTGGAAATTTTCTGCTGCTCATCTCTATCAATAAATATGTATACGAATTATAAGATCCTTCTAATAATTACAGTGAACATTAGATCTTACTCATAGGTGAAAGCTCTTTGAAGCCTTTAAAGTGAGAATCCAGAACTTACCTCAAAACTATAGTTTGTCCAAGTTCCAATCAAAATACTCTGCTTATATTCACTAAGATGTGGAAATAACTCATATTTTTCCTCTTACAAAATGAAGATTATAAAAATAGGAATCTTGATTCCAATAATGCAAATTTAGAGTCTTTTTAGACTTCCTCATTTTGTCTCAATTTAAACTCAAAACTGCTGAATCTATCAATCAGTGACTTTTATACTGAACTGTTAAGTCTGCTGCCTTTCAGATTTAGGTGCCCCAAAGCTGACAGTTCAAAGTGGCTATGCTTCTGTAATGAACACAAAAAAAGTCCTTTTTCTCCCTAAATTCACTAGCGTATGCAACACATGTCTGCAAGCTTTGCTGGAAAGGAAAGTCTCATCGCACACTAGGTGATATTTAGGTATGTAGTTAACGAGCTCAGGAACGTTGCAATGAGGTGTCTGAAGATTGCTGCGTGGTTGGAGAGTTAACACCAGCAACAGAACCTACAACAGCTGTCTGCCATCCACAGCTCAACACTTAGACTCAGTTTTCAGTGCTTTGAACACATTTGGTGTATTGTGTCAGCTGAAGACATGCGGCTTGGCTTTTTTATTGATCCCTTGTGCTGAAATGTGGCTGCAGCGAGAGTTGTGAGTTGGCAGCCCCGGGGACAAGGCTGTGACTATGAGACTTTCACCCCTCTCCTGGGAGCTGAGAGACTGATGACAGCTTGGTACTCACCAGGTGATTCCTGTCCATACCGCCTCGCTCCTGGACACAGCAAGGCTTTGTAGGCTGTACAAAGAGGGATGGGGTGCCCAAGCAGCCACCCGCTGCCTCCTCTAGGAAGAAGGTGACTAGCTAGCTGGCTTCCTGGCTGGCTGGCCAGGAGCCTCCAATGAGCAAGAAGTGGCCACAAGCCACCTGGCAGGCCAGGCTCAGCCAAGGGAGTAATACTACTGCACCTTGAGAGTCAAATTAAAATTGTCTCAGGCTGGTTATTACCACACTTGTGACGGACTGCAGGGGAAATAATGACTGCATTTAGACATTTAAAAAGTCACATGCTCAGATACGCAAACTGTAATTAGTTGAGAGTTTAAATGGTGCCTAAAGTATTGAAGTACGCTCCTTGTAAATTAGGCTTACAGTTTTAAGGTGGTCAGTTCTTAGCACTGCAGAGTTAACCCAGCTAAAGAAGAATGAGTCAGATTAGGCCTATTAGGCAATAGAAATAAAACAGCTCCCTCCCCCACACAAACAATTTGGTTTTGTCTCCCAAGTCTGCATGCCAGCAGTGCTCAGAACCTCCTTGTGCAAGAAGTTGTCAGAAGAATTTTGTTAATGATGTTTCAAAAGCGAGGGAGATTTTTTGGGATACGTGAGCACTGTCAGTTCTTCCTCACTGACCACATGAAGATAACCACATTTTAACTTAAACACGCTTTTTTTTTTTGTTGTCGTCATCATTGTTCTAGTGTGTTTTGCTCGACAGCCTCTGGTATTAATTTTTTCAAGGAAAAGAAACGAGGAGAGGTAGTAATTCGAGGGACTCATCGTGCACAGTAAGAGCAATGTTTGTTTTTAACCCACGCGTCTCTGAAGCATGTGTTACATAAACAAGTATGTCTCGCAGCAGCTGAATTCAGGCCTCCTCCAGCTGCAATCGCAGCGTATCAGAATGTGGCAGATATCCAGCTGGTGGCAGTCCAAGGTTATGCTGCCAACGAGCTTCCAAAACTTCAGACAGCAGAGCCAGTGCAGAAATGGCTTTGCAATAGGTCCTAAATTTAGTAGGGTTCGGGGTCATGTGAATACTGCCTGGCAGGTGCAAATACCACCACTGGTGATCCTCCAGTGGGAAAGTGCTACCACGAGATCCATAAATACTGTCAGGACCATCACTTGAAGTATTATCACTCAGCAAAGTTGTTTCATGAAATCTGTGTATTTTTGAATTATTTCAGGAAATAGAAAAATCAGGCTAAAGTCTTGAGTGATTTTGTCGTTTAGGGGACAACGTCTCAGATGATACGATCCAGGTTAATAGGTTGCGTTCAACAACATCAGGAAATGCTCAGTTCTCTGATTTTTTGTTACAAGAAAAATTGATGAAAGGAGACAGCTTTAGCAGCTATTTAGACACAATGCATATATTTAGCTAAGGCACTATATTTTTATATAAAAAAAATATATAAAAGAACAAGTTCAGTACCTATTGTTGTAATTTCTTATAATGAGTGGCTAGCACCATATGATTTCTTTAACATTTTATAGTGGGTAAGGTTTTATTAAAAAATATAGTTCTTTATATTAATGAACTTATTTATATAGAGCTGTGAATTGGCTTTAACAAATTACCATCTGAGAAGATATGATACTCTCACCTGTTAAGTTTGTGGAGTGCAAAGATTGAGATATTTTTTAAAGAATTTTTTAGCAGTGAGCTAAACAAATACTAGTAGCATGTTTGGGAGGAGAGGTTAATTCAGGTTAAGCAGAATTAGCAACACAAAACTGTTCAGATCTAAGAGCAGAATTTCACCTTTGATACTGACAGTTTTGAGAAACTGTGAAACAAAATGCATGTATTATTTAACCACAAGAGGTCATCATAGCACTGCTGTAAACCCCCTTTCTGCAGTTTTTTTTACCTCCACTGAAAGAAAGAAACTTGGAAAGAAATACGAAAAAAGTTCTGGCTTTTTAAATTTGTTTTCAGCTAATTTAAATGTAACAATAAAAACCACATATACTGATCATTTATTCAGAAGCAACAAACAAAATAGAAGCACAGATTTTCTCTGAGCTTCCTCTTTTTTTTTCTTTTTTTAACAGTGTTGACAGCTCCTAGCCACGAGTTTAATACTGAAGAATAAATTACAAAGAATCAGCAGAAGAGTGAGTAAGTGGTGTTATACCAGTGGAATGTTGACTAAATCACATGAATCCAAAGTTACTCTTTTTTCATTAGAAGCACTTAAGGAAGCTATATTTTCCATCTTGGAATCTCATTTAGAAGTCTATTTATAACAGCTTTAGCTAGGCAGATCTCTGCTTAAATTGTGGTTTTGCTTATCCAGAAACAAAATTCACTCAAGTCTTGACTGTGCAATTGCTTACACATATAATTAGTGTTATGTGTGCCAGATTCACTGTTATCAGCATACAGTACTGCTTCAATGTGTGGGTGAAACAGATTTCTTCATCTGTGTATATATTGACTCTTTTTGTTTGGATGTGGGAGATTTTTGACCTAACACTGACTCTATGCTTCCTATCCTGTCAGTGGAAAATGTACCTCCCTTACTTATAAATCAGAAGTGTTTTTAAAAACATAACCTATTCTTTCAGCTGTTCCCCCCCACCCCCGCAAAAATGGATTTCTTTTAGATCACCTAGGTAAAAATTAAAAAAAATTAAAACTATTTTAATTTTCTAATGCAACTTAATAGTATCTAAACTGATCTAGAGACTTTTGGAATGCAATTTTTCCAGTGTTTTTTTTGTTACATATCTTTGCACTGGCATTGAAAGCCAACTACATCGAAACTCCTTAAACTTTGTAAGTTCTGGATTGTTCTGCTGTACATTTCTGATGGGTGTGACCCATTCCTAAAAATCCTTCCAATATATGATCTCTTGAAATCCCTCGTTTTCTGAAATAATAGCAGAACAATTCTGACGGTGATATGTAAACTGAGATTCAGCCTTTCTGAGGTGTTGAGTACCTGCAGCTCTCGTAAGATGAATATCAAACACAATTAGATACCCCATGTATCTACCTCTAAGTAGCTAGAAATGTGCTAGCATGGGTAGCAGAAGTGTAGCTTAGCTACAGGCAACACAATTATGTTGGTCCCAGTTTCTGAGCTTTGCTGAACTGCTCTCAGCCATGAAGAAACAGCCCAAATGCAGTTGTAGCTGTGACTGCTTAAAAAATAAAATAAATCAAATAAATAAAATAATATTTATACTCTATTTTCATAAAATATATAAAAATTGATAATTCTGATGGGCTATTCTCTATGAACACAATCCAGCTGCCATGCTTTCTAGCATGATAAAAGTGCATTCCCATGCAGATCTCATTGGTAGCTAACCCCTTATGCACATTCTTGTGCCAACAAAAATGGTGTACCTAGCTGACACACCCAGTGCTAACCTGCCCCCCAGCCAATTTGCACTGTCTTTGCTGAGAGTCTTCACAGCAATTATGCGCCCCCAACTATCCTATCACTTGATTAGCTTTTAATTGCATTTACATAAAATAAGTCTTTTACTGCTGTTCCTTGTTAGAAGTGTTATTTTGATATTGGGTTCACAAACATCACTCACTGATGTTATAAAATATCAAAGAGCTTCCTTTCTCCCCTCCCTTGCCTTCAAAAGATAATCTAGCAGCTTTGTAGGTCAGCAAGCCTTTTGGATTTTTGGTCTTTGTTCAAGGAATTACATGCCAGTGTAATAAGAAGGATTTT